TTTCTGTGCCTATATGATTTGTCCCCAATGTTGGTATGGTTGAAATATGTGAGCTGACCTTGTGTCTGACTTGGTTTGCTTGGGGACAAGCAAACGGTTAAGTGTGGGGGAGTTTGATAAGCCGTTAATTGCAAATGTTTTTACCCCTATCCTGGAGCCGTTTGAGATGGTAATTGATAGACCGTTAATTACACATGTTTTTACCCCTGTTCTTACACCGTTTGAGATGTGATTTCTGTTGTGTTAGGCCGATTTCACGCTAGGTTGTGCTTGTTTGTGATATTTCAGGTCCTAGTACGTGAATGGAGGCTTGGGAGCGAGTTTGGGGTCGATTGGACGAAGATCGAGCGCGAGGCAAGTCAAAAAGGAGGCCACACGGGCACACTCACAACTCACACGGCCGTGCAAGTGACCACTTTGGCCGTGTGAGATTGTGCGAGAGCAAACAAGGCTTGCCCTGATGTTCACACGACCATGTGAAGGAGTGGTCTGGCCGTGTGAGTTTCGCCGAGAGCAAACACGGGCAGATGGAATTCCCACACGGCCGTGCGACCCTGGCCGTGTGAGAAGCCTGAAGATCGAACTAATTGGAACGCAGCGTTTTGACTCACACGGGCAACTGGGTATGCCACACGGCCGTGTGGCCCTGCCCGTGTGAGTCGGGAATTCCTGGTTTTAAACCAATTCCGGGCTGCAAGAGAGAGAATCGGACTTTTTGAGCAAAAACAGAGCCCTAGGGAGAGAAAGGACGAAGAACACATCCTAGAAGCTATCTTGGAGCTGGGTTTCATCAAATCAAGCTTGGAGATCGTCATAGGAGTGAAAATCATCATCCTAGAGGAGATTCTTCCCATAATTATGAGTATGACTGCTTTGTATCTTGTTTTCCTCTCTCTCTCTATGGAGTAGAACCCCTCTCTCACTTGGGGATGAAGAACCCTAGTTCTATGTGTTAGGGATTGATTGTAATGACTTGGGATGATATTACTGTTTGATTTTAATCGAATGATGCATGTTTATTGAGTCAATTGAAGTCTGATAAACTTTTCCTGATTCTTGCTGCAATCTGAGATAGATAGAATCTGATTAGGTTGCTAGAGTCTCATCATTCGATAGTAGGAGATTGGCTATACGAGAGTTAGCCAGTTTACTGCTATGTACTGGAATCTAATTCCAGTAGTGGAGTTCTGTTCTTACTGCTTCAGCTTTCTATTCCGGTGAAGACTAGTCGTCTGCCGGGTAGATAGACTGAGAGGGCTTGGTCAGCTTAAGAGATTCCAAGCTACTGTCGGATCTTCCGCAGTCTAATCAATAGTAAATCAACCCAGGAAAATACAATTGAAACCTAACTAAGGAGCTAGGGGGAGTCATTCCCGAGTGACTCTTACCTGCTTGAGAAAACCGTATAAATTCCTGCTTTCTTTCTGCTTTTGCTTTTAAACAACAATCACTTACTTTAGTTGGCTAGATAATAGATAATCACTGAGTAAGCAGTAGATCTAGACCCCGGGTTGATAATAGAACTTGCCTGTTACTGCATTCCCGGTCTGCGATTACACTTGGTCGCAGATTGGTGTTGTGTTTTGGTGTGTCAAGTTTTTGGCTCCGTTGCCGGGGACCCTCTAGGTTATTGGGGAAACGTGAGAATTTGTTACTCTAGATTTTTATTTACTGCATTTTATCTCTTCCACCTTTGTGCCTTCATGGGTTGCTTCTGCTGATTGTGTGCAGGAAGTGCATGACCCGTAGCCAGTCGGGAGATCTACTACCACTAGACCAGGAGCTTGAACGAACCTGCAGAAACTTCAAGCGGGCTCTAAAGGCGCGACTAGCTGCGGAGGAGGCGCTATCATAGCTTCAGTTAGAAGAAGAGGACGAAGAGATGGCTGATCCAGAGAACCAAGATGTGATCCCTGAGGAGCAGACCATGGGATCCTACTGGACCGCTAGAGCTGCGGACATGAGGTCACCCATTCAACATCCTCATGTCCCAGCCAACAATTTTGAGGTGAGCACCTCAATAATCACCATGCTGCGCGGTTCAGTGGTGTTCCGTGGTAAAGAGGGGGAGTGCCCTCGTTCACATCTCAGGCGATTCCACGAGCTCATCGATGGAATCAAGATCAATGGTGTCCCAGCAGATGCCATCCAGCTGAGGTACTTCCCATTCACCTTGGAGGGGCAGGCCAAAGAGTGGCTAGACACTCGACCTCCGAGATCCATCACCACGTTCGCCAACCTGGCAGACAAGTTCCTCACCCGCTACCATCCTCCGTCGAAGACGGCGGACTTGCAGAAGCAGATCACCCACTTCACCCAAGATGAAGATGAGACCATCCGGGATGCTTGGGAGAGATACAACAGTCTCTTCCTGAGGTGTCCCAATCACGGTTTCAATGATGCTTTCAAGGTGGGAATCTTCTATCATGCCCTCTTGCCGGAGGACAAGCAGCTGATTGATTCGGTCTGTGGCGGGAACATGCTGACCAAAACACCACCACAGCTGAATCAACTCTTTGAGGAGATGGCGGAGAACGGGTACGATTGGGGCACTGCCAGGAGATCGAGACGAGCACCAGGACGGGGTGTGCATGCTGTAGGCACCCAGTCATCTGATTTGGTGCAGGTGGTATCGAAGCTGGTTTCAGCTATCGATCGTTCTAGTTTGATTGCAGGTACCGGACAGCAGCAGGCTATGCTCTGCCAGTGGTGCGAGAGCACCCACCATACAGTGGAAGACTGCCAAGCGATGAAGGAATCGACAACACCCTAGGAGCAGGTGAACTTCATCAACAATGTTAGGCGCAACGACCCCTACAGCAATACTTACAACGAGGGGTGGCGCCAGCATCCCAACTTCTCCTGGGGTGGGGCAAATTCCAGACTACCAGTCCCCCAGGGACCACCGGGCTTCCAGCGGCCACCATATCAGCCCATACAGGGGCAATTCCAGCAGCAGCAGCAGTCTCTCTACCAGCCCATGCAGGGGCATGCTGCTCCATCACAGCCGCGACCTTTCCAGCAGCCAGGTGCAGCCCCTGCCGCCCTAGTGCAGAATGATCAGATGGCTGAACTGGGGGAATTGGTGGGTTCTCTCGCCAGTTCTAGTGCTCAAAAATTTAACACCATCGAGCAGTTCATGGAAAAGGCATCGGGTAAATTCCTAGCTCTTGAAGCTGGCCAGAGGAACACACAGGCTGTCTTGCAGGATATCCAGACCCAGCCGGGGAGTGTGGCTCAAGCAGTGGCACAAAGGGCTCCTGGTACTCTGCCCGGTCAGACCATCCCTCACCCTCAGAACCCGAATGAGCACTGCAATGCCATCATAACCAGAAGTGGCAAGATGACTGTTGATCCACCTGCTCGGGCACAAGAGAGAGAGGCCCCTGCCTCGGCATCTCTAGCAGCTGAAGAAGAAGTAGAGAAGGAGGTTGAGGTGCCTGCACCTAAACCGCAACCAGTAGTGAAGGAGTATATCCCTAAACTCCCCTTCCCTACTCGGTTGCACAAAGACAGGCTGGAGGCAGAGTTCGAGAACTTCATGGCCATGCTTAGGAAGCTGAATGTCCAAGTACCTTTCGTGGAGGCACTATCTCAAATGCATAAGTATGCGAAGTTCCTGAAGGATCTTCTCTCAAAGAAGCAGAAGCTGAGCGAGCTGGCCACTGTGGAGCTCAGCGAGGAGTGCTCGGCCATTCTGCAGAACAAGCTTCCGCAGAAGCAGAAGGACCCAGGTAGTTTTACTATCCCGTGCTCTATAGAAAATCTGCATGTAGAGAGGTCCTTGGCGGATTTAGGTGCTAGTATCAATGTTATGCCATATAAACTGTTTAAGAAACTAGGCCTAGGTGAACCCCGTGCTACTAGGATGAGCCTTCAATTAGCAGACCGATCTGTAGTGCATCCTAGGGGCATAGTGGAAGACCTTCTGGTTAAGGTTGGCAAATTCAATTATCCTGCTGATTTTGTGATTTTGGACATAAATGAGGATGTGAATGTGCCATTGATACAGGGAAGGCCTTTCCTGGCCACCGCCAAGGCCCTCATAGATGTGCATGATGGGACCTTAGTTTTGAGGGATGGTGAGGAGCGAATAGCGTTTTCAATTTCTAATACTCGTCCTGCTTCGTCACCTTTGCATGTTGTATCTCACTAGGAGCACGAGTCTGTCGTGTATCCTCCTGTGTTGCCTATTTTGCAGGATCCGCCTCCCATACCTTCGTCGCCACTCCCGTCCACTCCGTCATCAAAGGGACAAATCAGGGAGGAGTGGCGGCCGAAACAGCAGGCAGCTAAGCCTGCTCGAAAGAAAGCCGGAGACCACTATGAGCTGGTCCCGCCCCCACCTTGGCCATCCGAGTATTCACTCGCTTGCATCCTGCCGGATGGCCAAGTTGAGTTGGCAAATGCTGGTGGCCACATTCGGCGTGTGCATGCCCACGAATTGAAGCTGTACCTCAAGAGCGAGGTGGATCCGCTCTTGAAGGCACCTGCTCCTTCACCTCACTGAGCATCCACCGACTGGCGTCCAGCTAAAAGACGGTAAAGAAGCGCTTGTGGGGAGGCAACCCCACCTAGGATTGATTTTCTTACCTTTTTCCTTTTGATTTTTTTTGTGTTTTTTGAGTCTTGAGGGGTTGTTCACGAGTTGTATGTCGTTCTGGAGTGAAAAAAGGTCATTTTCGGAGTTCTGGCAACTCACACGGCCAGCCCTGAATGTCACACGGCCGTGTGGGAAATAATTTTGGCCGTGTGAGCTCTCGCAGAATTCCACACGGCCAGATGAGATGTTGGCACGGCCGTGTGGAAATTTGCCCTGGCCGTGTCTGCTCTCGCATAATTTGGCACGGCTAAATGAGCACTCGGCACGGCCGAGTGAAATTCCTCGGCCAGCCCGTGTCGGCCGACACGGGCAAAAGTGCTCATGACACGGCCGTGCGAGTCAGGCCGTGTGGCCGAGACACGGCCTATATATTCGGCCAGCACGGCCGGGTCATCAGAAAATTTCAAAATCCTCGCCGGAATCCTCTGAACCTCGCCGGAAAACCGCGACAAAACCCCACTTTTTGATTTTTTTGGCCATTTTTTGTCATTTTTCCACCAAACCAACAACAAACCCACCCTTCCTACACCAAAAGCGGCCTATCCCTCCATTTTGAGGAGATTTGGCCGACGTTTTTGTCGCCGGAGGCGATTTCCGGCGAGGCTCCGACGAGCACTTCCGGACATTTTTTCGGTGTTTCATTGCTTTCATCGCCTTCCCCTCATCATCCCCTACACCTCTACTTGAGTCTCCAGGTTTGATTTTGCCCTTAACTATGTTAATTGTGGAGAATTGGGTGTTAGGGTGCTGTTTAGAGAACCTCATTGAATCTTGTGATTTTTGTGCAATTGATTGAGGGGAATGCATGGAGTGTGTTTGAATTGTGTGGGGTAAAGTCCCTCTTGATTGTTTGAGCCCTTGTGTGCAAGAATTGTGCCAATTTTATGCTAACCTTAATAGTGCACACAAGGTGTTCGATGAAATGCCTGTTTTCGTACCATTTTGTGGGGGTCGGTTGGGGCCCTTAATGATGTGCTTTGAGGGTGTATTTGGTATGAATGTGAACCTTGAGTTGCCTACTTGTTCATGGATGTGCACCCCCACTCAGATTATGCTTGATTTATCGAGTTTCTGACCCCCGAACTATGGATGAAACCATGGTTAGGCTGTTTTCTGTTCTTAAGTGTGGGGGTGTGATTAACATTTTCCTTGGCTGTTTTGGTTCCACTTTGGGCTGTTCTTTTGCAGGACCATGTCGAAGGGGGCCCCACCGGGATCATTTTCAGAACGTCCTGGCCTGCAAGTTTGGGCAGCATCATTACTGGTCCAAGCGCGAGTTGGAGAAGCTCAACTGCTACGAGCACCTCTCCCCCGTTGTCACCAACAAATACTGGCGCCGCCTACTCAGCATTCGCGCGAAGGTTTACCATGAGCTCATGCTTGAGTTCTACACTACCTTCAAGCACGCAGCCACGGACGATTGGAAGGACGAAGCTGCAGTCCAGTTCCGACTCGGCGGTGAACCACGCTCCATGAGCTACGACGAGCTGGCGGACGCCCTCGGCCTCAACCTGGTCAATGTTAGGGACTACATCACAGAGATCGCCGAGCCAGACAGGGTGGACTTCGGGAGGCTGTACTTCAGCATCGCTCGGCCACGTCAGCTTCCCTTCAAGGCGGGGAAGACGAATGCCAGCACATTGCAGCTTGAAAATCATCTCTTCCATCACCTGCTGACCAAGTCTTACACCCCAGCCTCAGACAGTGCCAGCGCCATCACCAAGAGATCCCTGTACTTCATCCAGTCCATGCGCCAGAGGGATCATCCCCTACACTTGGGCTCGGTGGTGGCGAGGACCTTCGAGAAGAGTGCTTCTGAGCTGAAGAAACTCCACTGCACTCCTCTCATCACCTGCCTGGCAGAGTACTTCCAGATATCCCTGCAGGGGTGCACAGAGCAGGGAGAGACCACTCCCTTTGGCCGGGCTACGATCACCAAAATGCTCCTGCTTCGAGAAGAGCGAGGTGTCATGTGGATCGAGGGGTTTCCTCAACCTCGGATCCCAGAGGCGGTCCAGCAGGAGGCTCCCGAGGGGGCAGCTGATGAGGAGGTCCAGCCCGAGGACGTGGATGACACTGCTGCCGCCCGCCCCACCACCTTCGAGTACGGGGTTGGCAGCTCCAGTTTCCCGGGGCAGGATTACTTCCCCTCCCAGTTCGAGCAGCTGCGTCTCCAGAACCAGCAGATCCTCGACCATCAGATGCATTTCCAGCAGCAGTACGCGGCTCACCAGGCCGAGTACCACCAGAGGATGGCTGCTTACGATGAGAGATTGGACCAGCTCCAGACCTAGCAGGGAGTGACTCTTGCACACATCAAGCGGGAGAGGCGCCGCTCTCGGCGCATGTAGGAGGTACAGGGGCATCTGCTCCAGCTGCTACCGGGCGAGCAGCCAGTATGGAGGACTCCCTGGGAGGACTCTCCACTTCCACCTCCCCCAGCGGATGGTGATGATGGTGCTGATGGTGGTGACGCCTTCATGAACGACATCGTCTTCGATTTGGACAACCTCGGCGACGAGTAGGCTGTACTCGTTGCCCCTCTCAGTGTGTTTTGTTTTTCGTTTTAGACTTGTGTGTGTTTGCTCCATGTGTGAGGAGCTTAAACTTAGTGTCGTTTGTTTTTGTTTTTTGTTTGTTTCTTTTGTGGATTGTTTTTGTTGTAGCTGCCCGGGCTAACACTTATCCCTAACACAACGTGTGCTAGTGTGTTCTTGGTGTTCGATTCGTGCAAAACTGTCCATCTTCCCGTTTGTTTCTCGCTGACTGGTCCACTTCCAGTCCCACAACAGTTTCAATCCGGTAACATCGTTCCCCTTCCCTATCCCTCTGCTCCATTGAGGACAATGTCGTGCTTAAGTGTGGGGGGGTGCTTTGTATCGGTTGGAATGTATATATGTGTGCTTGGAGCCTAGTCCACTGTCTAAATCTCGCGATTTGAGGGCTCCAAGTCTGCTGTTTGATCATCTTGGCACTGTGTTTTGATTGATGAATTGAATGGTTTTCGGATTGATGCATGACAGCTTGATTGTGACTAGGACAACCTATGATGAGGACTAAGACGTGCATTAGAGTTGTGTAGGGGTTCAGTTTTTCAACTGTTTGCTTACCAACTGTGACTTGGATTGATTACTTGTTCTTGACAGTCTCTTATGCATCTAGTTCAGGGTATCAGAATGTGAGATAGAGCATATAGGTAGCCATGTGAGTTTTGAGCCTGCTCGTTTCTTTCTTGTGCGATAGATCCCTCTTCCATGATGTGTAGCATTCACGTCGTCACTAGCTAGGATGATGGGGGCATAGGATTAGCCCACGATCAAATTTGACTGTCCTGATATGTCATATCCCCTAGTCAGCCCTTTTGAGCCGTGTGTTATCCTTTCTTTTGGTCCGAAATGAAAAAAATCACCCTGTTTACATCTTTTAGAAGGTTCCACATAGTGGTTTTTACATATTCTCTGTTGTTTCTGCTAAATTTGAGGTGAGTGTTGGAGGTAGTGCTTAAAAGTTGAGTTGGGCATGTGTTTGAAATATATGCAGAAGTGGTGGCTCTCTTAAGAAGTGAAAAGGAAATGAAATAAAAACAAAGAAAAATTGAAAGCAAAGAGAGCCACTACCAAAAATCTGAATAATGCCCAGTAAGCAGTGTTTCTTAGCAGTCTGCCTTGGAAATGATGACATTCATACCTCCTTCGCTCTTGTGCTCTTGAGATATTGAGTAATGCAGAATAGCAGAAAGGAAATACCGGTTTGTTTGACTGTGATTGTTTGGGTTTGGAAATGTGGAACCTTGTGCTATGAATACTTCCACCACCTAAAAGGCCTTTTCCCCATGTCCAAGACCCTAGCCAGTCATTTGAACCTGTGTCTACGACCTCCTGATTAGTTAGTGGTCACACCCCATATGTGAACTCTAGCATTTAGAGGCTGCCAACATGGTGAAGAGATGTTAGGGATTGAGAGAAATAACATGCGCATTTTTCGCATCAAATTGTCCTGACCCCACTGGTCGAGAGTGAGTGTTTCATTTTTCATATTCTATATACTCTTGTACCCCGGTGAGGACCTAGATTGCTCGGTCTCTATTCTGATTTCTTGAGTTGACTGTTTTGAGTAAGTGGTTGAGTCAAGTCTAGGTTGGGTGGTGAACAGAAGGGAGACTCTTCCTTTACTTGATTTTGCTGCACTCGAATGTCCTTTGTGGTGGTTGTCCAGGTTGCTAATGAAGTTGCTCATGTGTTGATGTTTGAAAACCAGTACGATTCACGTGTTCTGTGCCTTTATGACTTGTTCCCTATGTTGGTTGATTGAAATATGTAAGCTTACCTTGTGTCTGACTTGGTTTGCTTGGGGACAAGCAAACGGTTAAGTGTGGGGGAGTTTGATAGACCGTTAATTACTGCATTCACGCTAGGTTGTGCTTGTTTGTGATATTTCAGGTCCTAGTACGTGAATGGAGGCTTGGGAGCGAGTTTGGGGTCGATTGGACGAAGATCGGGCACGAGGCAAGTCAAAAAGGAGGCCACACGGGCACACCCACAACTCACACGGCCGTGCAAGTGACCACTTTGGCCGTGTGAGATTGTGCGAGAGCAAACACGGCTTGCCCTGATGTTCACACGGCCGTGTGAAGGAGTGGTCTGGCCGTGTGAGTTTCGCCGAGAGCAAACACGGGCAGATGGAATTCCCACACGGCCGTGCGACCCTGGCCGTGTGAGAAGCCTGAAGATCGAACTAATTGGAACACAGCGTTTTGACTCACACGGGCAACTGGGTATGCCACACGGCCGTGTGGCCCTGCCCGTGTGAGTCGGGAATTCCTGGTTTTAACCCAATTCCGGGCTGCAAGAGAGAGAATCGGACTTTTTGAGCAAAAACAGAGCCCTAGGGAGAGAAAGGACGAAGAACACATCCTAGAAGCTATCTTGGAGCTGGGTTTCATCAAATCAAGCTTGGAGATCGTCATAGGAGTGAAAATCATCATCCTAGAGGAGATTCTTCCCATAATTATGAGTATGACTGCTTTGTATCTTGTTTTCCTCTCTCTCTCTATGGAGTAGAACCCCTCTCTCACTTGGGGATGAAGAACCCTAGTTCTATGTGTTAGGGATTGATTGTAATGACTTGGGATGATATTACTGTTTGATTTTAATCGAATGATGCATGTTTATTGAGTCAATTGAAGTGTGATCAACTTTTCCTGATTCCTGCTGCAATATGAGATAGATAGAATCTGATTAGGTTGTTAGAGTCTCATCATTCGATAGTAGGAGATTGGCTATACGAGAGTTAGCCAGTTTACTGCTTTGTACTGGAATCTAATTCCAGTAGTGGAGTTCTGTTCTTACTGCTTCAGCTTTCTATTCCGGTGAAGACTAGTCGTCTGCCGGGTAGATAGACTGAGAGGGCTTGGTCAGCTTAAGAGATTCCAAGCTACTGTCGGATCTTCCGCAGTCTAATCAGCAGTAAATCAAACCAGGAAAATACAATTGAAACCTAACTAAGGAGCTAGGGGGAATCATTCCCGAGCGACTCTTACCTGCTTGAGAAAACCGTATCAATTCCTGCTTTCTTTCTGCTTTTGCTTTTAAACAACAATCACTTACTTTAGTTGGCTAGATAATAGATAATCACTGAGTAAGCAGTAGATCTAGACCCCGGGTTGATAATAGAACTTTCCTGTTAGTGCATTCCCGGTCTGCGATTACACTTGGTCGCAGATTGGTGTTGTGTTTTGGTGTGTCAGTAATTCTCGTGTTTTAGGCCGATTTCACGCTAGGTTGTGTTTGTTTGTGATATTTTAGGTCATAGCAAGTGAATGAAGGTTTAGGAGCGAGTTTGGGGTCGATTGGACGAAGATCGGGCGCGAGGCAAGTCAAAAAGGAAGCCACACAGGCACACCCACAACTCACACGGCCGTGCAAGTGACCACTTTGGCCGTGTGGGATTGTGCGAGCCTTCACCCGGCCAGCCCTGATATTCACACGGCCGTGTGAAGTTGCACTTTGGCCGTGTTGAATTCTGCGAGGCTTCACACGGCCAGGCTGGGTGAGCTACACGGCCGTGTGTCCCTGGCCGTGTAAGAAGCCTGAAGTCCAATTATTCGGAACGCGGCGTTTTGACCTCACACGGGCAACTGGGTATGCCACACAGTCGTGTGAGCCTGCCCGTGTGAGTCGGGAATTTCTGGTTTTTACCCAATTTCGGGCTGCAAGTGGGAGAATCGAGTTTTCAGAGCAAAAACAGAGCCCTAGAGAGAGAAAGTACGAAGAACACATCCTGGAAGCTATCTTGGAGCTGGGTTTCATCAAATCAAGCTTGGAGATCGTCATAGGAGTGGAAATCATCATCCCAGAGCAGATTTTCCTCATCTTTATGAGTATGACTACTCTGTATTCTGTTTCCCTCTCTCTCTCTATGGAGTAGAACCCTTCTCTCACTTGGGTATGAAGAACCCTAGTTCTATGTGTTAGGGATTTGATTGTAATGACTTGGGATGATATTACTGCTTGGTTTTAATCGAATGATGCATGTTTATTGAGTCAATTGAAGTCTGATCAGCTTTTCCTGATTTCTGCTGCAACCTGAGATAGATAGAATCTGATTAGGTTGTTAGAGCCTCATCATTCGGTAGTAGGAGATTGGCTATACGAGAGTTAGCCAGTTTACTGCTTTGTACTGGAATCCAATTCCAGTAGTGGATTTCTGTGCTTATTGCTTCAGCTTTCTATCCCGGTGAAGACTAGTCGTCTGCCGGGTAGTTAGACTGAGAGGGCTTGGTCAGCTTAAGAGATTCCAAGCTACTGTCGTATCTTTCGCAGTCTAATCAACAGTAAATCAACCCAGGGAAATTACAATTGAAACCTAACTAAGGAGCTAGGGGGACTCATTCCCGAGTGACTCTTCTTTGCTTGAGAAAACCGTACCAATTCCTGCTTTCTTTCTGCTTTTGCTTTAAACAACAATCACTTAACTTAGTTGGCTAGATAATAGAGAATCACAGAGTAAGCAGTAGATCTAGACCCCGGGTTGATAATAGAATTTGCCATTTTACTGCATTCCCGGACTGCGATTATACTTGGTCGCAGTTTGGTGTTGTGTTTTGGCGTTTCAAACACACACTTTGATCCGTCTTAAAAAATTAGGCGGAAATCTCATTAGAATCATTACCTTAAAGAGATACTCCCTGTTGACCGATTTGAATGCTTTCCTAAGGCTGATTTCAATATCAAACCTTGATGAAATAATTATCTTTTGGTATCCACTTACTAACTTTTGCGACAACGCGATATTGTCCATTGTGCTTCTCGCCCCTAACAAAAGTTATCTGGTTAGCACCATTGATCAAATGGAACACTTCTCTTACTACGAGGCCAAGATCTTTGCTACTCATTTATATAGGAGACCCAAAGACAATATTGGATTGAAGTGTCTTCAGTATCTTAGCATTTGGCGTCTTATGAAACAGTTAAAGCATTAATACCACTTAACATTTTCGACGAATATGTAATCTGTAATCCCAGCAATAATGTGTTTTCCACAATGTGCCACATTAAACACATTTCTTACATCCTCTTTTGCACTGGATCACATAGCTAAGCCTGCAGTTGAATACTCATTTTATGCAATATTAAGGATGCTAGTTTGTCATTACTTGGATCTACCTAGTCATTCACCACTCCAAATACGTTCTAGTAAAAATGTTCGGCCTGCTCAGCAATAAGGTCCACATCATGAAGTTTCTCACCTGAATTGTTTATCAGTTTCCTTATTTCTTTCCTAGAAGTATGAAGTTTGACGGCCTAATGGAAGAGTCTTGTAATCCTATCTCTGTTAGATAATCAAGAAACTCTAGATTTTTGCCGGAAACAACTCTCTTCAGTTTTCCTCAACTCATTATATGTACCTTGTAATTTTGTCTTCACTATGAAGGCATCATCAGTAGTAACCTCCAAATCATATAACTCAGATGCCATAAGTTATTGTATATTTTGCTTCACCTGGTACCTTATGTTTGGAAAAGCCTATTTATTTAGCTTGTGCAAGGCTTGCTTTACTGCTTCACCTTGCATTGTATGACATACCAAGGACATCCAGGCGCTGATAGACACCAAACCTTCTCCACAATAAACAAAAAATCATAATACTCAGCCCATAACTCAAAATACTTGATGCCATTATTTGTGAAAGCAAGAAAACCATCATGATTCGTCAATGAAGTATGAATGGCTTCCACTAAACACATTTCATATCTATGTTATAATAAAAACCATTTTAAAGGTTTCAGTATAGACAAATGTTATCTTGGCAAGATCTTACAGAACCTATTTCAACCAAAAAAAAGTACGAAGTAATTATAGACAGAGCACACTCGCTTGTGCTCTGATAATCATTGTATGGTTCTTTCACTTAAATCTCATTTTCTATAGATTGTATTAATTGTATCATCGAATATTTATCTTTCGATTTCTTCAATATCTACTTAGTTAGTAATAGTGCATTTTTTAATAATGTAACCATGCATTTTTAGTTATGAAAGAAACAAAATTTAGCTACGAAATGAATTTGTGTGGTGCATTTAGACAAAATATTTGAAACTTTTTTTTATATAATTTTAACAATGTACATATCCAATTTACGAAAATGAAGAATATGCATGATTGTTCTATTCTTAATTTTCGGCCCTCGGGAAACGAAATTCTTGCTTCGCCCTTGCCTTAGACAATATGACACCAACCTTGTGAGTGAATCCCTTTAGTAACTTTATGGTCAATAACTACGCATAACATGCCACATCAGCACCACATCATCATTTGCGAAAGGCTTCTAACATTTTTCCCTCTAAATTTTATCGCGCTGTAACTCTTTCGTTTTAAGTCAGAATTTAATTTTTTCCACAGATAAATCAGATTAATTGTGCTCTTTAAAATGATATCCACTTTGATATATATATTTTCAAAGTAAAAAAAATTGAGACACTTAGTACCCGTATTTACCATGGTGTTATTGTTTTGTATTACATAAGAGCATATAATGTGGTATGGGAGTGTATCATGGTGGTATCAATGCAGTCAAAATCGGGATTTTGATTGTAAAATCGTAGGATACTTAGGCATTTTGATCCTGATTTTACTATAAAATTGATGGACCTTAAAATCGTTTAAAATCGGAATTTAAATCGTAAAATAGTAACAAATTGGGATTTTGATGGTACGAGAAAAAGTAGGTGGTTTGAGCCAATATAAAAGAACCATAACTATTTCGGCGAAAAGGGCAATGACGGGAATCTTCTCAGATATTTTTTCTATAAAAAAACATTTGAAAATAATAAAAATAACCAAATTAGGGCTCGGTCAATCCCCTTCACTTTGCCCCATTTAACTTATTGGTAAAACAATTGTCCTAATATTGGAAGTACGTAAGAATTAATATCATTATTAACTAATTAATTTATTAATGAATATATTTGTACCAAGCCACTAACATTACTTATTTTATTGGAGTTCAAATATTTTTAGTTTTAAATCGTACTTAGACGATGTCGGAATATTACTTTGAGTTAAACTACCTAGACACAACAGGAAAACAACAGACAGACCCGTTGAGCTTTATCCCTTCCTCATGAATTATTTTGAGTTACGCATTAAATAACAATTAAAATAGTGATTTTGGAACATTAATCTTGAGAATTATCTTTTATAAAAAAAATCTTTAGAATTATCATTTTAAATGTTATGTGTGTTGTGTTATTAATGATTTACCTTATTAATATTATTATAGGTTATGTTCTATATGGTACTTAAAATCCTATGATTTTACGATTCCGATTTTGCCTAGTTTTTTATTTTAGGTAAAATCCAGATTTTGACTACTTTGGGTGGTACCAAACTATAGAATGGTTGAATACATGATAGTAGGAATATACTAACTGTCATTTAAAACTTTCAACATTGTGTACCACAAG